AGAAACTGACAACAAGAACGCCACTGACATCGGTTGGCAACCATATCTTGTAGTGTCTCCAACCAGGTACAGTGAGGATCACGCGGTCCCCATCCTGGAAGGCGTGTAGCACCGACAGCACCCAAGCGTTTCGTGATCCCCTTCATACTCCTCTGCCAAGTCAAGGGTTGGCCACCTCTTTGTTTACGCCATTCTGAATTGGGCATGAAAAACAGCACTCTCTTCAGCAAACGATGGTTCGGCATACGCAACACATGTCCAATCAACGCAGCTTCTGGTGCTGGGTACATTCTTCAATGTAGGTACCCGCTGTACAACCGAAAAAGCACTTTCTAATTGCCTCGCTCGGCTTTGTCGAGACCAACTCACACGAGCTATAAATCTGAGACAACAGGTGTCGAACACCTGAAGACGTCTCAGTTCCACACAACAAAACAGCCCGCACTGTAGCTGGACACAAACGTCCCTTGAGATTCAGAGATACGCCACCTTGACGCCATAGATGTTTCAAATTAGCAAACGCGACCAGGACCTTGCATATTCGTGCATTGATTTAATCTGTGAGCGTTCCAGGCAGTATAAGCAGTTGGATTGAAGTTAAGACCTGGTCGAAGAGATCGTTTGCCCATGATTGTCTCAAGTAAGTAATTTCACACAAAATCATCATTCACCTGTGGCACTCTTTCGGTGTCTAAATGCCATGGCACCCGAGGGAAGTATGAGGGTCGGGATACTACCACGTTGTCCAAGCCTAGACAGGGGAATTCGAGAGGCAGAGGTCGGGTTCGAACCATGGACCTTGCGGTCAGTAAATTCGAGCCGAAACCATTGAGCCCCATTTTACACAAGAATTAAAACGAGCCGACATTATCCGAATAAGCTTGCTGTGTCTGAGCAACGCGCAACCATTGCAAATCACTCTGCACCAAGGTCCAAAGGTTGTCAAGATTTTGGCTATCGGAATCATGTGGACGCTATAGTGAAATGCGAAAAGCGAGACATTTGCTTCCTGTTATTACAGTATTATTTTAGTCGAGCCATTGTTACTTGTTCCGAATTTCTTATTACAAGTTGAAATCAGCGGACATTTTCGAGTGACAATCAGCTAACATCAACCCCACAAACAAACCCACTATATCGGGTACACTTGTGTATAGTAAACGCTGGGAACAAAGCATGGAAAAGAGGATATCAGATTTCACCTGGGTGGTGGTCGAAAGATGACACTAGTGTATTTTTAATTAGTGTTTTTACGGCAGGGTTTATTTTGAGTGTGATTCACAACTGAAATCTAGTATATTACCACGTAACCCAAAATGAGTAACTGGTGACATCACGCCCATGGGGGAAATAAGCTGAAAGGCTGGGTGACTGCGCTGGACCGGTTGGGTTAACATGTGTCAACAAGTCAAGTTTGCTCATGGTGAAGCGACTCCTTACTAGGGAAATCTGTAGTCACAGTCGACCCAGGGAAATATGGACTATCCCAATACACCTAAGGAACATCATAGTTAGGCAACACAGTCTACCGAACAGGTACGAGTCACGATTCCGT